AAGCCCGAGGGACAGTTTGAATGAGACGGCAGACATAAAGACGAGCATCTATGGCTAATACCGTGCGGTGGAATCTTCGGGCAAGCTACAGAAGTACAAAAGCCGAGAGCATTGTTCGTGTCACGTATTCCTTCGTCGGAAGTACCTGTCGCCGAAGTGTGAATAGCTTATCATGTTAAAGGGCATGATGTTAAGGCAATACTGCATTTAGGCTCTTGTTGCGGATAATACTGCGGCACATACGTTGGATGAAATAAGCTGTGTTCACGTGGGACAATTCTGTGCTCACTTTAGACACCTCGTTTCATTGAAAGCACGCGTGTACCATGAACATTTCGCTCCTCTCGTGGAATATTTTAGACCGCAGTCGATATATTCTACCTCATGGCCCACTTAGATAACGCGCCAAGTAAGTAACTATTCACCAGAACACAACCCCGGAGATTTTACCCTGAGTGAATATTCTGCGGAGGATCGACTTTAGCCTTGTTACATATCTGGGTGCAAACAGGCTGGGAATCACTCGTGTTTGAGCCATTCTTGCATAGTGCCGACTGGCTCACTCCTGAAACATTACTAGTAACCCTCTCAGAAATTCGAACGGGTGTTTGAATAGGCATTACACTACGCCGATTAACTGGAAGAGGCCATCCAGAAGGTTTTCCGGCTTAGGCACGAGTTTGAGATGTACGCAACTTACTGGTGTGACATGTGAATAGTTCGGGAAGGGGCAGAGAGCGACAGCTGTTCTTCCCGTGGTTTACCGTGTAACGACACATGCCAACAACCAGGTTCTCAGACACGTCAGCACACGCACTCTAAAACTGAAGCACCATCTGGTTGATTGCTCTGAGGTGAAAGGCATTTGGTTTTTTAGTGAAAATTCCCATATTTTTTCAGACGGTCAATACCAATCATATCATTCTACATGATCACCCCATGCAAGCCTTTTACCACACGCAGGGGCAACTCGGAAGTTAATATTTCACACATGCATCGCCCCAGTTGATTTCCATTCAACAAAGTAACTGGTGAAATGCATCGCATGAGAGAAGTATTTTTCCGTCTCTGGTAGCAAAGCCGTGGTCGTTATCTTTAGAAGGATTTCACAAGCAGCTTGAACGTGTGGTCAAACATTTGAAGTCGGCGGAGCCAGGCAAGGCCACAAAACGCACGAAGCGCTTAAGCGCACAAACCCAACTGGTGTTATGCCGATCACTGGGCTGAACAGTCAACTCTCAGTGTCAGGTGACACTGGTGGGGCCTACAAGGATGATGCCTCCTGTGGACCCCTTGAACTGCCTACAACCCCTGCTTATTACTGGTGTACACGAAACCGGCAGATTATAATAAAATTCACTGCTAGACGCAGGACAGGCGATACAAGCAGAAACGTGGTTTCAAACTTTCGTGATTAAATTCATCCAATTTTGCTAAACTGGATAATAAAATGGGGTCCAAATGTTACTTGGTTATCCACTAGAGTGGATTCGCTTTTGAAGTGATGTAAAAGTTGCCCCTGATTTCCAGGAAATAATGAACCACCAAACTTTGTAAGATTTTGGAGTCTTTTTGTATTATTAAATTGGTATTTATGTACGAATAGATGGTGTTATGTGACCTTGAAAGTTTGCCTCCCTAAACCCAGCTATGAGCACAGTTTTGGATGACTGTTGGAGAGCTTCCACTTTAAATGTTCCAACTGAATTTCGCTTCGCTTCCAGAACTGGAATTATCACCATAATCAAACCCACTGAAACTTTTTGGCCCACAATATTCCGGTGGCGCTAAGTAGCTACTGTAACTTCAGACAGGCCATCAAAACAAAAAGCACCTGCGCTCCTAGCTGTCTTGAGATCCACATACATCAAGCCCTGTTTCTTCGGATGTTCAGACGGTTTCACGCCTCACGACGCAAAAAAGCAACGGTTTTTTGGAACCAGTTTGAACACAAGACACTGAGCTTAGAAAGGTGACGCGTAGGATTAGCTGGCTGAGGTGTGACAAGTCCGCGTACTAGCGCTGGCAGTACGCTCCAGAGGTATGTTCAAGAGCACGGGTTTAGGCATCAAACCAGGTTTCACATACCTCACTGCACTTGTCCAGTAACCGGCGCCCGGGTCCGATTTGCCCCGTTCCTTGGTCAATCTACAAAGCGTTCAGGTCTGGCATCCGGTGTCCTTTGCGCTCGAGGTCAGCCCAGGTACGGTGAACCGGGGTCCAGCCAACTTTCCTGGGTTTTATGTCTTGCTCAGTAACTTCGTTTTAAAAAACGACCGCATAACCGCTCAACCTTAAACAGGAAGACGGGGAGAAAAATGTTATATACCGGCAAGAAGAATGCACCCCACAAAATTAAAATTTTTGTCGTGACGAGAAAAATTTGTATACAATAGGGCCACAACTGTGCTACCGAAAGGCCTCTTCGTATCCGACGAAACGAACAAAGGGACAAACGCACCGGTTGCGGGGTTTCGCCCGGGTGAAGTACCCTTGTGTAAGCAGCCGAAAAGTGAAGGAGCAGAAGGTCACGATAAATGCGCTTACGAGTATCCAAACCCCATGATATCGGTGAGTCCTGCGAGTCGACTACATTCAAACGTACCAGCTTTGGTCTGTCGACGGGTGTCGAATAAGGTGTACCCAGTTCATTGATAAAACAGCCACCTCTCATGGTAAGGACTTTGCCAGTTTTGTTGTAAGGAGTTCGAAGCGACTATCCCGAGTTTTGTATAGAGAGTCTGGCATCAAAACGCGGGTCATTGTTCTTTTATGCTGGTTGGCCTCAGGTCGCGCATACGGTACTGTAGATTTAGTATTTAGTGCAGCCGAAGTTAGACGAAGGTTGGTGGATGTTTAGCTCGCTATGTGTTCGAAGGGGACACCGGCAAAACAAGGCCAAACCACATGCCTGTAAAACGCTCTTTTTGAGGCGAGGAATATATACCCTTGTCAAGGAAAGCTCTGGGCCTATAGCGTCATTCTGATCTGGAAGAGAAGGGGTTCATTCAACCTGTTACCTATTACATGGCTAGTCATTGTCTTGAAGTGTTTAAAACCAGATGTGATCAATGAGTATTAAAATGTGACATCTTTTCCGAGGCAACCGGGGTGTGTGGACAATGGTTTCTGGTGTGCATTCAGGTATCTCCACTACTTCTTACCACCTAGAAATCGGGAGATGGATGTCGACGATGCAAGGTTTCTTCTAAAGTTCTTACTAGTCCGGACCCACGTGCATTTAACGGAATCGGGTGTCTGAGATGGAAATCTTGTGGAATAGTCATAGCGCATCGGTGAACCTTCGCTGGCTCACTGAGGGTAGTATATGTCCCCTTGGATATATGAATGATAAACGTGTCTTCTATGGGTAGCAAGTTTTGTGATGTAATCGAAAGACTAAAACCCGTTGAAAGTTCCTGGCAGTTAATTTCCAAGAATCACAAATGAAGAATATATCACCAGTGGGCCCAACAAACACTCTGTCTTCCAGTCCGCTTTTAAAATGCCGCATCACCTATTAGATGACAAGCATCTAATGACCGAAAGTAGCGCAGCATCCTTCGACTGGCTGCAAGCGTTTGATGTGAAGTCCAGAGGGGTAAGGCCGTTCCTCTCCACGTTGTTTCAGGATACCGCATAAGGCCACTTCCGAGGCACATGCCATCAGCAAAATCAATGCCCCGGGGTGCAGTGGGCGGCTAGTGCTTTACTTGGAAGTGCGTCAAAAGTTTGGCTAGTGATAGAGGCGAAATTCAACCTCCCCTTGATGCGACAGAGAAGTCTTGCAAGAAATTGCCGTCAGGGGCGAGCAATAACGTAAACCGACAAGACCGTCAAATCAGTGAAACTGTCTAAAGAAAGCCACCGATTGGTGTGAAGTGTAATTTCTAGAGATCCCTTGGCAATTGCGGCTGAAACGCGGTATTACAAGAACGTCACATGCGCGCAAGCGAATGGGCATTCAGCTGTATTGAACACTACCCCATTACAACATGAATGAACTAACAACGCGTAGTGAGGCTTTGCATGTTCCCGAGAGTCATCACTGGGGGCTGATTTGTCGCAGAGAGGTACATAGACAGAATATAAACCAGAACGCACATTGTCGATAAAAAATCTGCTAAATGACCTTACACTGCACGGGATGTACGGCATTCTTCGAGGCGCAAAATGAGCTTGTGATCTCTGACTGTTTTTCTGTCGGCTACTGCTGCTTAGTTCTGGCCGCACATCTTCAACAGATCATTTCTCTCAATCATCGCAATGGCGGTGGGCGACAACGGAAGACATCAAGTTAGTAAGTGTCTATCCCTGTGTCAGCACTGCAATTGCGGTCACGGGCGCGTATGCGGTCCCATGACGCTCTTGACAGCTGGAGACATTTTGGGTATGTTGTCAAACAACTTGTAGGCTTTAGCGAGTTTATCTGAGACATTTTGCCGGGTTGCGTCGTAAACCATTAACCGCCCAATGCTCTCAGCTGCAAAATCTTCAAGAGAAGAGTAAAACATTCTGTACCAAAATGTTGCATTTTGTTGCATACGTGCTCAAATCGACAACTATTCTAATCTACATTCATATTTTTGCAGCCCACCAAATTTCATCATAGACTGGAGCAATCATACCTCTAGCGGAGTAGTCTGGTGGACTAATTTTCTAGCATCGCTGGGGCTCTTGAATGCCAAAACAAGACTCCTAAGTTTGAACTGCTACTCTGAACCCAATTACTTGATTACTTTGGTCCATTACGGACAAGCCACAACTTCCGAAATTTCGATTCATTGTGCGGATACTGAACTCCGGGGCTGGGTTATGGGAGTCCGCCATTCCCCATGTTGTTCCCCTATCTATTTTCGACTGGACAAAAGGCGCTGCACATGCTTTAAAGATGCCTGGTGCTGACCATCGCTTGTCTTGAAACACCAGGAGTCCGGATTTTATTTGTTGAATTTATCGTTTTCGTGCTTTCCCACAAGGCGCTCATTTTGACGTGCCGGGTTGTCCTGCGCTGCTCGACCGGCTGAACTGTTAATTAAGTTACTACGAAATTGGATGGTTTTGTGTCCGAAGGAGTCATAAAATAGGGATCTGATTTATACATGAGTTTTCTCTGTAACGGTTCGGGGGTCGCATCCTACGAGTCACTGAAACCAATGAGAACGCGAGACTTGGCTTTGCGTTAGCTGAACTGCTGGACACTTCACTCTGAGCTTCGCGGTCGCCTCACCTTTACCGGGCGTTTCTGTCTGCTGTTTTGAAGCGTATCCATTGTTCGGATGATTCCCGGATACTTTCCATTTCTCTCCTTGTCAGGGGACCCAACGGCCATTCCACTGCATCCATCCATACTTCATTCAGCCCTCTTGCAGGGGACCAGTGGGGTACAGCAGCCACTGTCTTCAACCCAACTTTTACAGCATGCACTTCTTCAAGACTCTCTTCGTGTTCTCGGCGCCAATGTTTTTACTTCGCTCCTGTGCTCTCCGCAGTTGGGTTGCTCTGCCACTGTCGGGAATGTCGGAATTTTAGGTGGGCCTCTACAACCAACCCCTGTAAATTCTGCTACCGGTGTTGCCCCACTGTTGCTCTATCCTGCATTAAACGCTGCTCCGTTACCCGGTAACTCAACCGAGGATCCGTCTAAAAGTGTAGATTCTCACACAATCGTCCGTGCTCCAGTGATCTACAAGAATGCTGTAAGTTCGGGTGATTATTTGTTGTTTTGTTCTGGCAGCTTTGTCATTGCTGTGGTCTAAACCTTTCTACCCTGTTTCTTTGAATGCAAAAGTAAGCGTGCCAACATGCCCATCCCAGTTTGCGGTTGTCTGTGCCACAGAGCTGTCCTTTTCATTTGTTGTGCTGCATTGGGTGTAACGCTTTTCAATGTATAACCCATGGCGTATGGTTTGTGGCAGTTTTCATCCAAATAGTACATGAAAATATGAATAGTGCGGTTCTTGGTAGCCTACGTTCCGAGTAGGGGCGTGCGCGCAGTTGCATTGTGGATCCCTGAGCATTGATATTCCATAACAAGTGGGTTGAATGGGCGGAGTATTGATCCTCTAGTAAGGCATGATGGAACAACGTAATGCTGTTTACAGTCGTGGTATTATCATGCACTAATCTTGCATCCGGTTCTCGATTTGAAAGGCAGATAGGCTGATGAACCGCCTCGCAGGATCAGTTCTTAGGGGACAAAGTATCGTCAGCTTACCCAAGTAAAGGCAGAATCAGTCGAAAACTCAGGATTTATTCCGAACCACCGACCTATTACTAGTTGCTGCCTCAACCGCAGATGCACATAAGACTCACAGGACGTTGAAATGTCCAGCTAGACTAACTTTTACAGTGGTGGTCACAAAATCTATCCTTGAATCTTTACTGGTTAGCACTGCGGGATATCCAGAGAATGGCGGCAAGCCTTTGCTGACCCAAACGAGAACAACCCAGTTAACTCAGATGCTACCGCCTCGAATGGACTTGGAATGTTTATCATTGAGAGGCCGAACACAGTCCAAATTTACACGGCGCCTCCTAACTAGCCATGGCTCACTTTGATTTGGTATATGCGATAAGGGAAGTCTTTAAGGCATATCTTAGCACATCACAGCGGATCACAATGCGCCTGCTATGTGGTCGCTGTGGTGGTTGCCGGTTTGGTCGTCATATATCCTCTGAGAGTCCGCACTACCTTTGAACGGTATCCACTGGCGCTCCGTAGAGCGGAACGCTGTGCTTGTTAGTAGACAGACAAGCTTCTCTGATCGTAGGTGTACTCCTACCCCTTCATTGTGCAATAGATAGAAACCAAGCCGCCGAACGTTCAACTGTTTCCGACGCCAGTTTCAACGGCTGCGATGGTGCTCCTGCGTCTTGTACATCCCGGTCCGAATATGATAGGCTGACGTGCTTTCTGCTGACAGTCAAATAATCCAGTGATATGCTTGTATGGTGGGAAGGGATAGCAGTTAGCAAGGCGAACGATACTTCCCAGTTGTCCAACCCGAGAATGAGGGGTTGATTGAGCGACCTCATCTTGAATCTTTCAAAAAATCTGACCCACACTATGCTCGGAGGAGGAAGGATTTTTCGGGGAGCCTGTTTTTAGCCACTGACTCGAAAGTTTGACCAGCCAGGCATCCGAGAAGATCGGACTCAGCAGTCTAACTTGAGACAAGTCAATGGAATTTAACACTTTTGGCTGTCTCTGGAGCTTCAGGCTTAATTTGCTGAGTTTCACCCGCTCTATAGTAGTCGGTGAATTATGGTACACAATGTCTTTCAAAAGTGCGTAGGCATCTTTTCCAACGGAACTAGCAGAATACAGCTTTCTTGGCATCCAGAAGGTTTTCTTGTGTTATACATCGTAATTCGGATCGTTCATTGTCTTTAGCAGAGAGATTATTGTCCAGGATTTCAAGATTTAAACTTGACATCGGGACTGCTAGTATGAAAGATGCAGTAACTGTACGAACACGCAACTATTTCCGGATCAAACTGTAGCTCAATCAGCAGTACAATTGACAGCAACAATGAGGAACGCCCGTGATTCACAGCCGTATGACTTTCATTTTATTTGAATAAGGCCCTGCATCGTCATCATCATCATCATCAGCTGTAACAACCGCTTGTCGTACAGTGGTCATAGCTGCCACAGTTTCGTTCGCCGATGATTTGGGGAGGTTGGGTAGATAGCTACGCATGGAAGTTGGTTTCTAATGTAATTGACGTGTAAAAACATTGTTGTCAGTGGACTTTTCATTAGGGAGAATTGGAGGGGAGCTGTCGATCTTAGGTAACCGGTTGGATGCACGAGTGGCACTGAGGGCGCGACTCTGCCATGTCTGACAATGTCTCCAACCGTCGATGTGATATGCCTCCATCCAGAGAGATGGCAATGACCAGCGCAGCTAAGTTTTCTGGTAATCGTTTTGATACCTAGCTACCGAGTCACTGTTCGACACCCCCTTGCCCTTCTTTCCACTCCGCGTGATTGTGGGAAAAGGGCTCAACTGCAATCCGGAACGTGTGGTCAATCCAGCGTAACCTATAGAGTCTGATCAGTTCATCTAAAACCATTAGACGTCCTTCAACGTTACCTATCCGGTGTTCCCACCAAATTCGGGCAGTATTCCGAAGAATTCAGTGGTCAAACATGGACTTCCTCGGCGCGCGGCAGTCGGGTTTCTGACTCCTATAATAAATGGATCTTGTGAGATACACTGGCTGGAACTCAGTTTCTAAGGGTTCACCCGTGTCACGAAGACCAAATAGGAGCAGCCAGACCCCGTTCTGTGAGTAATCTTATTACGAGGCGGTTTGATAGTAAAGTTGTGCTGCCCTGTGGGATGGGTGTGAGAGTGATAAGGTGTTTCCTGTAGGCAAACAGTGTGCCTATACTTATAAGGGTAAGAATACTTCTTTCCTCCGCGAAGGACGGGCTACCAAAGGTTGGTCCTAAACACCGCACGTCAATCACCCAGCAGTTGATTGTGACTGCCGGTGCGCTGTTCAATACAGTCAAAATACTTTCCGAATAGTGTGCTGCTGCTCAAAAGGCATCCACTGCGTGCAGCCGCATTACAAGTCAGACGACTATGCGTCACTTCCTGCGCCCTTTGGCCATTCCAGCTCCCTGCAGTCAGGTGGGTCAAACTATAAAGTCATTGGCTCCGTCAAGAATCCCTCAAGAAAACCATAACCGTCGCTTCGAGGTCTAGACTTTTGAGCCAGGGGATAGGGAATGGATCCTGGAGCAAAATGCTACACCCTTCCACTGCAATGCGGGTCAGACTTTTCAGTCAAAGACTCAAAGTGGGGTATCTCAACCAAAATCACTTCTTCGACCTGGTCAACCGGGGTGTCATCTGCATCTGCGGCTTTTCGTTCACCGGCCCTTACACCTCCCACTAATCGTATATTGCATTGCGGTCAACCCGTCTTTTAGTCCCCTAACCACTGTCCTGTGTACTATCGCCTAGCAAAATAAACCAGACTATACCCTCCCTGAACTGCAGAGATCTGATCCACGTTTCAACCTTTGACGCCCGAAATTGCGGCAGCGAACCATCCGTGTTGAACACTGATCTGTCAAATTGGGAAACAGGGTGAAGCCTGCTGAGGCCTTGCTTTCCATTTTGGTTGATGTATGTTACGTCTCTGAAATTCGTATACAAGGCGTCACTTCTATCGTGAACCTCAAGCCACTTGGGATGAGCTCAAATGTTCCACATTCCACTCTTCGGTGTCGGGTGATCCTGACGCAATGGCTCGTGGTATGTATGGTGTGGGAGTTTCAACCGCTTCGGTGAGCGAAAACAATTCTATCATTGATATGAATGCTCAAGCTGGAAGAATAAACCCGGAAGGAACGCACTTAGGTGATAGTATCGAAGTCGCTGCTTAGTGTATGGATAATGGAGAGCGACTTCAGTTTTGTGCTAGATGTCATCTGTTCTTGGCAGTACGAACTTCCAGCACAAGCGCTCACATCAATTCGGTTGGAGGCCACTGACTCTAATCCAGACATGGGCTGTTTGATCGTTTGGTTGTCATTTACCTCTGGAGAGCCTCAATTTAAGATACCCTTTCCTTCTGAGCTACGTAAATGTACTCCGACCATGACAGTTCGCCTTCTGTCAGCATTAGGCGTGCCTAAGCAAAGCAACTTGGTCATCAGCTTCGATACCATCGAGCTAATCTGACTGTACTGCTGACGGTTGTGGTTTGAATGGCAAAAAGTGAAAGTAGCTATGCTGCTAGTCTTCAGGACGGTCTTTCTAAGCTACCCGACTCGACTAATTGAACACTGGGTGTCATCCAGATTAACAGACCTGATCACTGCCAAATAGCCCTACCAGTCACCGATGACTATGACTATGACTACGCTCACAGAACCTTCAAACGCCGGATAACCTGAAGGCCTGTCAGCCTGAAGGCTGACGGAACATTGGTGGATTGCGAAGGCCCGGGAGATGGAGGAGGCTTTCGCTGCAGGCAACAGCCTCGTCCTGTTTAGCTGACTCGGGCAACTGTCTAGAGGAAGGAAAATGTTGGCGAAGGTATCTGTGAACAAGATCTGACAGCAATTCACACACAAAATTTCATCTTGAGCGATGGACCGAACACTTTAGCAAGCTCGAGGTGGCTCACTGGTTAAGACGCGATCTCTGCCTGCCTAGTGCTCCTGTCTGTGCTTGGGCAAGCTGGTAGTTTCTCGGCCCTCGTAATTCCTTCGAGTGGCACGGCAGATGGGCACCAAAAGGGTGCTACAGCTAAACTTACTTACTTTAAGGCGCACTTCACTTGGCCTCCTTCAAAATAATCTTTAGAAGAATCTAATGAGCCCACTGTAAATAACGTGAGATATCATCCCTCCAACGCGACGGGGTGCCCGTCCTGCAAAATTCAAAGGCGGTAAAAACTTCGTGGGTAGTTTGATGACCATACTACAGGAAATTTTGAACGAAAACAACACCAGTGCAATGCGACCTCGGTCTTCAATCAGGGCGCAAGAATGTCAGGCGAGAATCATCGTGGTATCAGCCCGGCAACTTTCATATGTAAGATGCTCTCTGGCGTTGTTTTGCGCGGGGTGATCAATTATTGGGGAGACAAACAAGCCGAGTTTCGCCACTGCCGAGGAAGCATCAATCATATCTTCACCTTAGGACGAATACTTGAAAAGCCCCGCTCTTTTGGACGGCACACGTTAGTCTTTTGGTATATATGCTACTTCTAACTCTGACGATCGTCAGAAACCTGGGCGATCAGAGGTGTCTTTTCTTAATTTATATCTCAATTTATATGCGATCTCTTGTGTCAGTGGACGAGTCCACCACGTCCTGTGGTGTAATACAAGTCTCCATTCTCTCACAACTCTTCAGCTTTTTTGTTGGCACATTACTTGAAAATTCTCTGCCTGCCCCTGACGCATCCATTCTCACAGATTGACATATCCCCTCTTCTACTTCACCCCACTCTAATTTGAATATTCCCTCCTCAGGTACAAGTACCAGGACTGACCGCCTTGTCCGTAATATATCACACTGAGCTGGAGCTTCTGTGTCCGACCTGAGAAACAATCCGAACACTTCACAGTCTGTTTTCAAATATCGGAAGCCAGCTTGTTTAGCTGCCTTTAATGTTCGCACACTGAAACAAGCAGGATAACAGCAGCTCTTCTGTTTTCAAATATCGGAAGCCAGCTTGTTTAGCTGCCTTTAATGTTCGCACACTGAAACAAGCAGGATAACAAGCAGCTCTTGCTCGTGCGCTGGATTCCCTCTGCATTAATATATGATGTATATGAGGAATGAGGATACGGTACACAAGTACCATAGTTGAGCTGACTGCCCCATCTGCACACATCTCGTGTTGTAGTGGCCGTTGCAGCTGAATACGTATTGGGTAATTGAGCGGAAGTGCCTTTACTTGATTGGATACCCGTAGATATTTGCCTTACCACGGTTTGTCTGTTAAAGAATACCGAGAAATTGAGGTCTCTCGCCCCATGTTACTGGCATCTGCTTACGCTCCGACAGACTGTAGCTCTGAATCTGCAAACGACGGTTTCTACGATGCTCTAGGTGCCCTTTTACAGCCCACTAAACCTCACACATCGTCTAAGTTGCTGGCGACATGAACACTCGAGTAGGTAGAATAAGTTCCCTCAAGGCCCAGTTGGGTGGTCGTCTTGGGTTGGATAAGAGAAGGACGGACAACGGGGAGCGCCTGCTTTGGATGTATGCCGATCACAGACCATTCCTTTGTAGTACCGATTTCCGGCGTTTCGGAAATCACTTGACAACGCTGTGGCAACCAGCGTACCAGCCACTAATCAGTTTCCAGGGGCGAGGCATCAGGTCACTACCTGATGCTTTTGGAATTCTTGCGTAGACTCCGACCACGTACTTGTCAGTTACTGCTTTTGATTGCGCTTTTCAAGTCTACACGAAACGCGCGCACTCTGCTTAGCCACTGAGAATGTCGTGGACCCAGAAATCAAAAGAACCTGTCAGAAGCGGCTCTTTGAACGCCCATCAACTGGTCTGATGTTGGATATTAACAACCACTGGCAACAGATGTCCACGGTGTTACTCAAGCCGGGAAATTCTATTTTTAGTACAACCCAGAGAACTTGAGGGCGAGATGGCTCAAAAGTAAGAGCGCGAATTTACTGACTGGAAGGTCTGTGGTTCGAATCCGACCTCTACCTCTCGACTTCTCCTGTGTATGCTTTAGCAACCTGACAGTATCCCAGCCCTTGTGCTTTATTCTGGTGGCATGGCAGTTAGGCACTGAAAGGGCGCTACAGCTGAACGACCCTTTTTTCCAGAAAACCTTATCCAAACATAAGATCTCTGATAGGACCGTGGATTTGTTGGAGATCTGCCGACAGACCCATCCTGGTCTCAACCACAACTCAACTGGACGCGTCACCCGACGCTGAGTGAAACCGGCTGTCCATGCAGACCGAGAATCTTGGTGGACCAGAAAAGACGAAGAAAGAGAAGATGCGGAAAATGCTGGAAACCTCCGCAGGCTGTTTCAGTTGATTCGTTCGACTGGTCCTCCGTAGTATCTTGTCAGCAAAAGTATCAGAGATCAAAATGGGTCACTGGTATCTGGCAAAGGAGAACCCTTGAACTGTTGGACACTACTTCGGACAGCAATTAAGTTGCCCACCTGCTACCTCCATTTTGGAATGCTAGCCTCAAACCGAAGGACCGGAAAGCGGCCCGAACTTTTGACCATTTTTGTGCGGGACAGGCTTCTCGGCCGTAGCAGCGCCCAACTGCCAGCGGTAAAGCGGTATTGGTGTGGAGTTCCGCCTAAAAGAGGCAGTGCAACGTTTTCGAGCCAACACATAACACTGGTAACACTTCTATGAAACTGTACGTGAGTTTCATTTCTGCCCCTGTCACCAGGTTCCAACCGAAGGACAGTCTGTCGGTAGCCACAGCTAGCTCCGTATATTCATTCGTATCAACCTTCATGTGTTCATCTCACGATGATGCACTTGTCGGATAAAGTTCATAAGCACATCCCTATCTCACTCACCATAGAACGAAGAATCATAACCCAAGCGATATCACAACACACATTCGGTCGAGTTGATTCCTCCAATGGAAGGAAATGCCTTCCAGGTGATCTCCCGGTTGTCGCTACATCGATCACGAAGTGTGATATCCTGTTTGCTATTGACTGTCGGAGCCGTTAGAATTCGGTTACGCAGCCTGCTGTTGTCGCACACTGCCATACGACTGTGCTTCGGAGGATAATTATAGCAGTTAGACGGACTACTGTATAGGCAAATCTTATTCGCGCGGAACATCATCTACCTGGGTCAACTGACTCTATCGTGGTTTGTGAGGCGAAGTCCGATAACCGCACAATCCTTACTTACTCCACCTCCTTGTCAAGATCCAGCATCACTGATCACCCTGAAATTAGTACCTCCTTATTGCACTGGTAGTTTCAGTTTGGGGGTTGGGCGAACTTGTAAAATTCATTGATGGTAATTGTATTGGTATCTAAGCCGACCACTTAGGCTGAGCTGATTGTGCGGTACGCGTTGCTATACCGAATTCCTTATTCATCATGATGGTTTGGTGTTAGTACGTCTTCGAATGTCCTGTTTTTTCGCGTCCCAACTCACGTTTAGTGAATCCGCTACACGCCTCGCTTCTTGTTTGGATTTTTTCGGTTTTACATTCGCGTTTTGCTGTGCCTGGTTTACTTACCGATCTCGGTGGGGTTCTCACATTTATAATCCTTGAAAGCAACCTCATTTTTTTCAGAAGTATCTCTCTTTGGACATCTCTTAAATCGCTCCTTCTGTATGAAAATCCAGTGAAACAAGTTTTGTTTGCGTGTCAGTTTCACTGAATGGACATACATACTAGGATGCATCATATCTTTCGCCAAGCTCTCATAGGATTTGCATGATTCCTGACAGACTGGGACTGAAGGTAAGTTGTAACATAGTTCTCACTTATTTGTGTTACCACGCATGTTGGGAAGTGAGTTTCCATTTCAGCCCGCCGTTAAGTGGTATCGTGCATTGAGAACTCCTTCCGTTTTCGCTTTCCGTGTGATCCCACTGGTTAAGCGCCTGGAGTTGCCTTTTGATTTCTATATTGTCTTGGTGCTTTATCTCTGTTTTCCTATCGCTTTTAGTCCCTCGGCTGAATCACAATCCGACCAATCCTGGTACGCTGGCTTTTCGGTAACGAAACTGCCCTAGCACTCACCATATTTAATTTGGATCTATTCATGTGAACGGTTGATTACTCATCTTTTCATCGATCCTGAGTACCACTCAGCTGGTTCGTGATAGGTGCTTGTCATGCGGTTTGCTGCTGTCCTTATCCGTGTATGTGTCCTTTATTGTTTGTGGCACTTGCATCTGCACACGTACACTTTTGTGGTGACTCTGTTACTAATTGTTTTTCTGCGCCAATCGATGCTGGTATCCTCGCGCTCCGTGCTTTGCTCGCCTACTTTGTCCGTTTAATTCCATTACCTGAAGACGACTCGGTTGTTGATACGCTTTGTTTGTTCATCTATTTCTGTTTTTCGGGAAAGACGACTAACTCTGATGGTGACGGTTCTCAAAGCGGTTCTGATGCCTTGAAAAGCAGCGAACAGAGTCCACCTGACCGCATCGTTGCATCTTACGCGGCTGCGGCTCATGCTGCTGCTTTGGTCAATCATCAACCTGTCTCCAAAGCTGCTGAAAATTTTCTCTCAGTGACGTCGACTGTTCGCCCCAGGCATTCAAAACGATCCCGTATCCAGACGTCTTCGGTTACCAGTCGGCTAGGAGTCTTTGAATCTGCGCCGCCGTCTACCACAGTTCCTGTGTCAGCAAACTGTGTAGAAGGGAAAACGAGCACCTCTACCCTTCAGTCGGGTGTTACCACGTCTGGCGATAGCGAAAGGCGAGCGGGATGGTCACGCATTCTTGATCGGAAGACCGGGACTGTGGAGTATATTTCGTAAGTTTCTTACTTGTAGGCGACCATCGGCAATCCATTCACGTCATTTACTAATCGAGTTCCAGCTTAAAGCACCTGACTTTTGGTAACATTCGCTACTCTATTACCGGTTTTCCGTGCGTCGTAATTTTTGGGCTGCTTAAACAACTGGTGGCTAACAGTTATTATTTACCTGGATTGCAAAAATGCACAAAGCGCTGGCTGACGCCAAAGACATCAGCCAACGCTTTGGGGTCTTCGAAGTTCTAGGTTCTTTTAGATGCTAGGGTGAGCGGAACCCTTACTTCTGGACCTGGTNGGCGAGCGGGGTGGTCACGCATTCTTGATCGGAAGCCCGGGACTGTGGAGTATATTTCGTAAGTTTCTTACTTGTAGGCGACCATCGGCAATCCATTCACGTCATTTACTAATCGAGTTCCAGCTTAAAGCACCTGACTTTTGGTAACATTCGCTACTCTATTACCGGTTTTCCGTGCGTCGTAATTTTTGGGCTGCTTAAACAACTGGTGGCTAACAGTTATTATTTACCTGGATTGCAAAAATGCACAAAGCGCTGGCTGACGCCAAAGACATCAGCCAACGCTTTGGGGTCTTCGAAGTTCTAGGTTCTTTTAGATGCTAGGGTGAGCGGAACCCTTACTTCTGGACCTGGTGACTAAATCTACCCATCAAAGTTTTTCTTATCGCATTGTCTAGTACTAACCTTTCAAAATAGACACTAATTTTCTGCACTACACTCCTCGTTTCACGTCCGCTTCTCATAGGTGGGTTTCAACTTTTTATTCACCAGCAAGGCCCGGTCGTTGGAACGACCGATTCCTAGTTTTGACACTTAAGTTCTCGTGTCCAACCTGGCTTTCTCAGGTCTTTTCACTGTGTGATGTTGATGCGTGATGCCGACTGTGATATTAATTTACATTGTATGCATTTCCCTGTCTAAACCTTTCTAGACCAGAAGGGTCCCATCTTCGAAAACGTGAGGAGGTGATCATGTACCTTCGAGCGAAATATCCTGGTTTGGACAACTCGGATCGGTATGACGATTTGGCTACCAGTTTCGTCTTCGAACCAATTGCAGACGCTCCAATCCCTACAGATAGTTTTCCTGCTTTCACTCAGGTCCTATCATCTAACCAATCCATCAATCCTTCCACCAGTCCTGCGCAAACGACAGAAACGGCCACATGTTCTCCGTACAATCAATCTTCAACCATATCAGACCAATCCGGAGTGAAACTTGCAGGTCAGTGTTAACCTTTTTCGAGGATTTTTTCATCTCTTCATAATTGGCAAACTCTGAAAGCGGTGGATGATTGCAGCCTTATGGAACCAGGCTACGATAAGCGGTAACCGTTCGACGTTGATGTCATCTGTAGCAACGCAGGTTTTCACGGGTTTTCGCAGAACGAGGAAGCCTTACTTTTGGGTTTTCGTGCCTCGTTATCCTGTAGAATGGTTCTGATTGTGCTTCACTGCTGTGAAGTTTAGGTTTTCATTCGGAAATGTGTGATGTGAAATGGACGGCAAGATAGCGAAGCGTCACTTTCTGGTGTCTACTTCAATTTGACGTGTTTAGCTATATATGATTCTCCTTGCATTTGATAATTTTCTGCCTCATTGTTTACAGTGACCACATTTAACTAATCTGTCAGATTATTTTCGGAGGAATTAAACAATGCGATTATGTCAAGATCACTATTTGTTCCGTTCTTCGTATTTGTAACGGAGGCACCTACTTTCAGTTATAGAGTTCCCAATCTTCTTCTAGGTTTTGATGAGTTAGTGGACATGCGTGATGGTCTTTTACTTAGGAGGGTGATGTGTTTGCGCACACTAAAATCCGTCATCTCCAGTCCTCACTAGCCTGCAGCGACTCATTATCAGAACATACTTGTCTCTGACTTCCATTACTAGGTTCTGCCTGCCGAATTTCTTTCAATCCAAATCGCTCCATAGAAGAGGATTTTTGTTTGACCAAGCGGCGACGTGTATTGTCATCTGCAGTTCAGGAGGAACAGGATAAGTCGGCTACAAAGGCAGATTCTCACGTTCAGCCGGTTGAACACGACCAGTTGCCACCTGAATTGCTTCCCGGTTCTTTTCCAGAGGCAGATGCGCCTACTTCAGGCTCAATAGATCCACTGCCGTCTTCTACGGAACTTTCTTCCAAAAAAACTGAAAATTGTGAATTAAACACTATCCACAGCTCTTCACCCGCCATTACCAAGACTGACTCATCAGAAGCTTCAATAATACCAACTGTGATGGCACCATGTGTGCTTAATGCAAATGTGATAACAGAAGATCGCCCAACCAATTCGGAAAATTCAGCGGCAGACTGCTTGTCTTCTTCCCCAAAACCCATAGTCAATGGAACTTCTACTTCTTACGAACATACGGGATTCTCGTCTCCCAGCACATTGGGTCAACGAAACATTGATACTGTTGCGAAGGTTAACACCGAAACAGTCACAACAGGTCTTCTTCACTCATCACTTTCTTCCAGTAGTTTATCAGTTTTACCATCTGTTGTTCCTTACTCTGACCGGTGCTCTGCACCTAACAGTGAGGCGGGATCGGCAACGCCAGCCCAGGTTACTCAGATCACGTCCTTTTCAGTACCCGGGAGCACTAACCAAACGATCGCTTTAAATCAGCTGATTGCCACTGCGCGTTTGGCTCAAGTTCAGCAGCAGCAGCAGCAGCAACAACAACAACAACAACAACTCCTAGCAGCAATAGCTTCCCTATCAGCTGATACTATGAGCAATCATTCTCTACCAGCGACACATTTGGTTAACAGTCCATCTCATTTGAACCCCCTTCTTCTTTCCAACGCTTCGCAATGCAATGCACCATGGAATACAGGTTCCTGGATGGATCTAGTTTCATCAACTACCGCAAATCCCTCTTCCTCTCTTCAGCAACAGCTAATGGCAGCTGCCGCCATACAGCAGCAACAACAGCAACAGGCTGCTCTCTCCATCTTATTGCAGAAGCAACAACAGGCTTTGTCAACAGTACAACCCCAACTTCTCAGTCCCGTCTCACAGGTTCAGGCCTACCTAGCTGCTGTTCAGCGCCAGTTTTTCCCGACGACTTAGTGGTATACTCATCTATGGTCCACAGACCCACAATCTTATCCTCATCAGACAAGTTCCCCCGTTGCCCGGTTCACTGTTTCCAAATTGACTATTTGGGATCATTCGTTTATTTACTTATCGTCCGTTGTTTATGCAACATGCATGGTAACGTTGTACAGCCTTTCTCATTTTTAGTTTCGAGTTCTTTTCCAGGTGTCTATTGCTGTTTTTCTCGATAGATGAAACTTTCGGAATTACGTGTTTGTTACTGTTGCGTTACATTCATCTCAACGCTAGTGACGGGTGCTATGAAATACCATGAGTTGCACACTTACAAATGAGCTTATGCGACATCGGTCGTCGTGTGGTGTCTTCAACCGGGTTGCCTTACTTCCTGCGTACAGCAGGGCGGGTAAGCGAAAACAGGCTACTGTTGACGCCTCCCTTCCTCTTTCGCATACTTCTCATTTCCCCTTCTACCACCTTTTTAATAACACTCCTTGTAGGCTCAGCAATAAGGACTGGCGACTCTGTTCATTCTGCGTTTGTTTTGCAAGCAACATATGCGCGTTATCCGGTGCTGACATTCTCAGAAAGCTCAAAATCAACCTTCAAGCATCGACACCCCGTCTTTTTGGTCGCTTTTAATTTCGAACAGCTGTGTATAAAAAAGGCTTAGGATGCAAACACCGGTTGACCTAACCATCCCATCATTCTCAACTCGCCTCTGGCTACACCTGGTGATCCAGGGCAGGATATGCAAGGGTTGGTATTGTCCTAAGTCGCCAGCTGGAAGGATCCTTGCTTGACTGGGTAACCATTGATAGTCGCCTATGTGAGGTTCGTCTGGAAACCTTTATGAAGGAGTCTCAAGCGGGAAATTGATCGATGTCTGTATGAAGTGTCCGCTTAAGTTATATGGCTCAAGTTGTTAGAGCGCGAATCTGGTTCGAACCCGACCTCTGCTTCTCGACGTCCCCTATCTAGGCTTGGGCGACGTGACAGTATCCCCTCTTTCATGCTTCCTTCTGGTGGCATGACAGCTAGGCACCGAAAGGGCGATACAACTGAACGATTTCACGCCCTAACCGAGTGTGACTCTGACACCATCAAAGACCCGAAACGACCTGTTGCGGCCAGCTAAAATCTCATATCGTTGTGGTTGTCAGAGATCTGGATTCACAAGTAGGCAGGCTCGGCACATCAGTTAGTTGGGCGACATGGATTGGACTTGGTACGTGCTGGCAACGGTGAACGATTGTTTCAGCTGTGTGCTGACCGCAGGCTGTTTTTATGCAGTACTATCTTCCGAAATAGCCGAAGTCGTCTGGCCATATGGTGTCCTCCAACGCTGTGCCGGCCACGAACTTAAATCGGTCACATTGCCATGAACTACCGATGGCGCGGATCAATAACGGGTTAAAGCTCATTTTGGAGCACATCTGTTGATTCTGACTACCCACTCATCAGAAGGCGCTTTTCCAGGGCCGCTTAAAGTGCGTACAAAACACTTAGCAACTGAGAGAATGGCAATTAGAAAGCGAGTTTTCGGTTGTGCAACGAAGAATTTAATTGAAGGATGTGTCCAGCACCAGAAGCTGATTTGGTTAGGCCATGTATCGCGTACGCAGAACCATTTTCGTGCTCAGTTCAGAGTGGCGGAAGCAGAGAGGTGGCTAATCCTTGACCTGACAGAGGGGTATGAAAAAGCTTACGAAACGGTCTGGTGATGTCGGTGTTTCTCGCTTTCCAGGATCGGGATCGCGTCTGGTTGGATACGCGGCGAGATGTGGCTGCTAATAGATGTCTATGGCGTTCTTGTTAGTTTCTATTCATATTACTTGGATGAGAGTCTGGAAGTGGTAGCACCAACTCCCTCCATCGTCCACTCATTCTTCACAATGAGGATTTCAAAATAAATCTTGGTCGAACGGCAGCGAATCATGTGTTGAATACTGATTTTATATCTTCGATAACGGTGATGTCGCCATTCTTAGGGGTCGCTACGGGTCAATTGAAGCTGTCGCTCAAGGAATCACATCTAAATGTGTTTGTCCTTTCCAGTGATTTCTGTTTAATTTGATCGTTTGTACCCTGTTCGCATAGTCCTGTGCTTTCCAAATCCTGAGGAGCAACTTCCCGGGGTGTCCGCTCAAGGACGTCGAACGCGCGGACTACATTGCTCTAATCCAATCAAATGTTACTCAAATGATTTGAGTAACATCTAATTTGGCGTCTTAGTTGGCGTGCACTTCGAACTCGCAAAATCTGAGGCGACTGTGGTGACTCGATGCTTGAGGCGCGAGCTTATTGACCGTAAGTTCTGCGGTTTGAACCCAACCCCGGTACCTCAACTGCCCCCGTCAATGTTTGGGCGTCCTGACACTATCTCAGTCTTCATGCTTTCTTTGCGCGATATGGAAGCTAGATACCATAAGTGTCTTACATTATTATTATTATTATTATTATCACTATTATTATTATTATGATTATTATTGGTGGGGTAGACCGAAACCTGATGCGTAACTTTACGCGACAGCCCGCGATTTGCAGATGAGTCGACGTTACAGCTGTCTTCGATTGTGGCAGTTCAATCCCAAACGTTTGAAGCTTAGTAGGTGTACATTTCGAACTGTGCTTCTTTATCTACGGTATACAGATACGTATACCTCAACAAGTAAGTGGTTTCCTGTCAACTGGTAAAAATGGGTTCGCTCTTGGAAGTTCAGAAAGGCGTTAGCTAGCCTCAAACCCCTACGACACGGGCGCGACACCACTTTGTGTCAAGAGTAAAATCCACTCCACTACTTAAGGAACGATCTGCTGGGTTTGTGCTCATTGAATATAAGAGAAGACTTTTGATGCCTTCAGAATATCGCCCGACTCTGGTAGGAACATCGGATCAGTAGTACTCAATTACGCTTGACGGTTTTAGTCTGCGGGCTAGTGATGAAGAAGACAGATACTTTGTATAATAAACTGTCCGTGCCATAGAAATTCACCCAGCCCTATAGGTGTGGAAACTACTCAAAACTGGCTACTCTGTAACTCGTGTTGAAAGGTGACAGGCCGAAAATCATCGCTCTGAGTACGTAATCGTCTTGATCCACATTCTGTTGGTAATGTTGAAGTCACTATAGACCCGCTACTGAGGTTTCTAACATATGGCTATTCCGCCATCTTCACTATCGGTGAGTGACACTGCAGAAACTGAACACGATCCATGTCGAGCAATCAACCAGTCTGTTGGGAGCTGTATTCAACTGGTTTCTGTTGGAGCATTCATCTCCCGAATCATGATTCTGTCTAGTTAAGCTTAGTAGAGCACATCTACGTTTGCTGTGATTCGCAAATTAGACGTGTGGAACAAGCGTGTTATCTCTACTCTACCAAAAACACACTGGACGCATTCTACCGGGTGAATCATTCGCAGTTGAGCTGGACAAAGTGGTTGCTAATTTACTTTACTGACCGGAAGGTCTGTGGTTCGAATCCGACCTCTGCCTCTCGACTCCCCCTGTCTAGGCTTCGGCGACCTGGCAGTATCCCAGCCCTCGTGCCTCCTTCGTATGGCATGGCAGCTGGGCACCGAAAGGGTGCTACAGCTGAACGATTATTATTATTATTATTATCATTTGTTTTTGAAGAGCATGGTCACAAACATAAAAAGTGGATGCAAGCGATGAATGCGAAAGAGTAACAGGCGTCTCGAGGGACAGTCCGATCGGTCGACTCCGGTCGATCGACTCACTTTCCTTACAGGTCTTCTCAAGCAGGTCTCTTGAAACCCCGTAGATGCAGTTTAATTAGTTCGTGGCATTTGTACACATCTCTCCTGTTCAAACAACCATCATGTTCTCGCACATCAAAGAGGAATTACTGGGATTATCGCTTCAACAGAGCTCGTCAGCAGTGCATATCACTGGATTTGCCTGGCTTTAAGTCCCAGACATCTGGTATGCGAGACCTGCCTATTACTAGTGCTTAACCAGAATACAATGGATGAAATATGACGCCCTCCATGCGTAGGTGAAGTAGTAATGACACTCACCTCGCGTGTCAACTATCTGAGGTTCAGATCCAACCATGTTCAATACTGGTGAGTTCCCATAAGAACTTTCACGTTTCTGGTGCGAAATCACCAAACTACCTTTTCAGGACAAAAGGAAGACCATTCAAATGTGGGTGATCCGAATACAAATTCTACATACACACATAAACATACAGTAACTATCCAAATATATAGTTTTTTGAGTTTGCGTTCAATAGATAATGCGCCTTACACACGTTTTGACTTGTTCGACGCCATTTGTCGCATTTCACTTTATGGATCCTGGGCACCAACTGTATTCAGTTTAGTTCCTGTGGATTTCAGTCACAGGTATCACGTAAGAGTGCGTTTCCAGCGGCTTTTTTCCGACAAGTCTGAAGGGTAATCAAAGCCGAAGACAGAATGGTAGTGTAAACCATCCGTCCAAAGTATGCAGGACTAACGTGGTTCGTCCGTGAAGTATAAGTTGACGAAAAGGTCACGTTTGTACAGTGTTTATTCAGGCCTTTTTTGTTGTCTCAGTTTTTCTTGGACTTGTACTTTGTTGAATAGGGAAATGTTTGACGCTGCAAGCATATTACGGTCTCATTCTGTTGCTCGTTGGTCGGCGTATGCGCCCAGCTTAGAATATCGTACAACCAATTTTCCTCGGTGCAATTCTCAACCTATTTTTACATACATGGCATAATTTCTCATCAACTCTTCTGTAAGCGATGGACACTATTTTTTACCTGTGTTCATAATTTAGTGCGCCATCGGAGGGTGCGCTGCCTCGTGTCGAAACAACTTGTGAAATTGATGCCAATTGCTTCAAAAATGACGGCAGCACCAGGTTCTTGCCTCATTCACCATTTTCCCTTCTCTTCACTTTAGGGCTTTAGTTATAAGTAAATAAACTTTTTGGTTCATCACTACTTATTAGCTCTTTCTGATTGTTATACCGATTGGTTGGCTTTACAACTACTTAGCTGAGGGACAGGAGATGGCCACTTGGTCAACAATTTGGTCCCATTTTTACTACTGGTTTGGGTCAAGAGATAACGTGGGGGAATTATCGCGTTAGATTGAACTGCCATTCAGGTTCCTAACTAATGGTGGAAGTGAGATCAGATCTTTACTATATGCTGGCTGTTTTGCTATTGCAAACATCCTATTCACGCTTGGAAAAGATCGCCTCGATGCTGTTATCCTCTCAGTAGGAAAAGTACAATTCACAGGGGTACGAAAACACCTACAACCTGACTCTGGCTCTTCAAACTTTTGAAAAACCTCCAGAGATATCGAGTTAAGAATCGCACCCGCATCAGACAACACTTGAAGCACAAAGTTCCATGTCAGTCCTCTGCGTGTTCCAGTGGAGACATATGTATCGCCTGAGCAAGGAAGAACTTATACAAATATTCCGGTAAGTCTTCTCAAAAGATAACAGCGGGCAATCAGCTGTTCAGTCTGAAGCTATCTGCTTGATAGAGGAGATAAGTTGGATGTTGTAACGGCTTCCAGTTTCCATTAAAGCCACCGAGCGCTAGCAGATCTACGCCACTGTTGAAGCCGTTGACAAATATGGTTACAAGCCTCAAATTTGTATTCATTATCACCTTGTACACACTGGCTTTCACGTGATCAGGCAGTCACATCGCCTCAATTGGCTCTTAAAAGCTGTCAGTTGTGACGAACACATTGACACTTTACAATTGATTTTCAGCTTGAGTGATCTGTCATGTAAACGTGTGAGCTGAGGTATCACAAAGATTAATGCTTTTAAGATGGAATATCTATCGCGTCGATATATTTTCAGGTACGTTGGTTAGAAAACTCAGCGTCTTATATTTCAGACTACCTGAATTGTCGAAGAATACCGGGTGGGCTTTTCATTTTTCCATGAAGGAAAAGCATGGATATTATGATAGAGACTGTATCCCAAAGACTGGCGCATATATTTATGAATTGTTTTAAGGCTACGGAGTAAACGGTACTTGAAATCCGGAGTTAATAAAGCGTTCAAACTGCAACTACCGAAAAACTATTCCACAAGGTCTTCGGAGTAAAACAAGAATAATCGTTTGGTAGCTTGCGATGGTCTATGGGAAGCGTCACCACTCTTGTTTGTGAGAAAAAGAAAACGGTGATGTTTTGCAGGTCTGCGAACATTACTTCGTCTGACACAATGTACGGATTACCAGGTGGAGGGAGGGAGTGTGAAGGTTCACATGGGAATTAGAAACGGTGGTCCATGGCCTTATCCGCTCGGCTTGCGATAATGGTAGTCCAGGTAATCAAAAGAGTCTACTCGGTTTTTGGCTTTTCTTCAATGTGTGTTGCCCCGTAGCACGTACTCTACATCAATGCCTGAAACCACAGAGATCTGCAGATCATACCACTTTAGTCCCATTTCCCATAAATGCATGAACTGAACATGAACGGTCAGCGTATAGGTATGTTGTAAGCATGGCGTTTTGTGAACGACAGATTATTTTTGCAGCAACGGTCGTAGTTGAGTGACTTTTTAAAACTTTTGAAAGTACGAATTTACCAGATAGTTGTTTGTTTGAACCCAAAGCTTATTAACAAGACATGTACCCGTTTCGTTACTGAGTTAGAAAGGTTAGTGAGGTTTTTGACATTTCGAAAATGTCATCGAGCATGTATAAGACCAGTTCCGTATTCTCTCTGTCTCTCACTAGACGTCATCTAATGCAGTTGCATATTTTATACTAACACGGTGATATTTGTTGAAGGAGCAGCTGTGACTAGGTGTCAGAAGTTGAATATTTGGAACACAGCATTCCTTTCGTTTGACAGGACTTTTGG